GAGAGAGCACTGAGTGCTGTTTGTTATCTGACAAGTGAAGCAAAGGAGCAGGAAGGAAAAWCAAAAGGATCTATGAAGCTGTGAGATAAAATTTCCTGGGAGTTTTCTTAGAAAACCCAACTTAGGCTTGTCTTTCCACAAGAAGGATGCAATTTGTTTCCCTTTGCTAGGTGAGATCAGCGTTGCCGCATCTTTGGTTTGGATGCAGACAAAAGCGTCATGAGGGATTAGCAGAATCCCCTCTGATGATTGCAGAGCTGTGCTGAGGCTCYAGGTGAGTCACCAGCCCCATCTCCTGTTTGGGAAGGGCAGCCCTGTGAGCCTTGGGGTTATCCTGCTGATTTCACTCGTGCTGCCATCACAGTGACTCACTGGGCTGGGGAATATTCGGGCTGCTCTGAGCTCAACCCTCCTGCACAGAGCAGGGTCTGACCCTGCAGGCACTCCCAAAATGTGTCACAGAGAGGGGTTAGTTCTTAAGTGCAGGGTTTGTCCTCAGTGAATATCACACAGTTCCTAATGTCACTCTTAATATTTTAGAGAGGCTTTTTTGCCTTTGTTTGGATGGATCAGATCCTCCTCTGAGTGAAATCACTGAACTGACCAAACCACCTGTGGAGCTGCAGTTTGCCCTGAAAGTGTTCAAGGGATGGACTGGATCCTGCAGMATCCTTACYGTGGAYYCAGCCAAGAGCACCCTGTGGACATCCATTCCTCCCCTTTCCTGTGCTGGGTTGACAAGCATTACTCATTTTTCACGGTGTTGTAAGCTCTCCTTTGAACTAAAGCTACTTCTGTGTGCTCCTGGGCCTGGGAAGGGCTGACAGAACAACTCCACCTCTTTATCTCCTCTGYGGTGAACTCAGGCTCTGAAGAAAAATCTCTGGACTCAGAAGGTGAACGGTTTAAAGCTCAGAGGAAATATTTCTCCTTTGCTGGGTGTTATTTCTGCTCAGTGAAGGAGAGGCTGGAATCAGCCCCAGGGATTGTGTGTGGATCAGTACTCAGGGTAAGCATCATGAATGACAAACTCTGAGGAAGAATATGGGAGGCTCTCCTAATTTATTTCATGATCCTGACATTTGGCATTTGATATTATGACAGCTTCAGTCCTGTTATTTCCTGGGAGCCTCTCGGAAAGGCTCCTTAAGGAAATAAGGACCAGGAGTGTTTGGAAGCCACGTTGCTCTGCCCTTGTGGAGATGTGGAGYAAAGTCCTCACTGAGTGCAGCGAGGAGAGGAACAGACAGGTCTCACTTTGTGCCTCAGTGCACACGGACAGAGGTGAAGTGAACTGCCACAGCTGTGATTCCCTGAGTTCTGCTTCCCCATCCCCTGMGGGAGTTTACTCAGAGCAGTTTCTCCTCTTGGAGTTTAATGAATCTCATCAGGCTGTAGGAACAACTGCCACTCATCACTGAGCTCAGTGCTGATAMAAGAGTGGTTATTTTATGGCCCTTGTAGGGCTTCTTCCACTCTCCACCCAGAGCCASCTCATCCCAGCACAGCCAGAGGGGACATTCCGTGTGCCCCCACAAAGTGGCCATGGAATGTGTGCTGGGATCCTCTGGAAGCTGTGGGACACTGGGAGGCTCTGACACAACATTATTACCCACTGCTTATGGCCTCAGTATCTCCAAAGCACTGAAAATGAACAACATTTTCTACTCTCTCTAAGCCTTTGCACTTTATAAACCCTATCAAGTTAAGTCTGATTATGGGAGMAAGGAAAAAGGACCTGACTGGAAATCAGCTGGATTCTCTCCTCAGCTTTCTAATGTCACCACCACCAAATCTGTTTATCTTAATCCTAAATCTTTCTCTTGCTAGTCCTTATTTTCTCCTGGGGTTCTTATCACCCAAAGCCACCAAGCTTCAATACTTTAGGCTGAGATTTACTGATCTGCCCTCTCTACGCGCTGCTGCTGTAAAAACAAAAATCTTTTCCATCCCATACAGCAAAAGTAAGGGATGAAGAAGTTCCATCCCCTGGCCAAGACCTCAGAACAAAGTTCCATTTGTGCATTCCCAACGCTGTCCTTTTTTCCCCCAAATTCTTTCCCAAAACAAGGTCCTTTCCRCAAGTGTAACTCAAGCTGGGTGTGATTAATAATTCACATTTAGTGCTAAAAGCAAATCAGAGTTAATTTTGTATATTTTGCTTCCTCTCTTTAATCCATCGGTTTCCGCGGGAAGGCGGCTCCGGAGCGCAGAGCTCGCTGTTACTCATGCCTTACATAAGGAACTAAAACATTCTTTAGTTTACAGAGAAGAATGTTCTCGCTCATTATGGGGATGAAAGGAGATTGCTGCATTTCAAATGACATGTATAATTTAGACACTTATTTCTAGGACTGTTTGGAACGGGGAATGAAGAGAAACTAAAATGTTTGAAGTGACTTGAGTGCTTCGTAGTTTTTAATGTGACTGGCAAAATACACAGCCCCGTAACTTTTAAGGCTGCTAATGGAAGAATGGCTCTGAAACTCCAACACACTTTTTTTTTTTTCCCCCTAATACCAGTATTTATTTTAAGCCGTGAGTAGAAACTGGTATTTGTCAGTGTGCGAAAAAAAAAAAAAGAAAATCTCATTTTTTTCTGCCGGTGGTTACCTGCTGTGCCTCTGAAGTGGAAAGAGGAGTGGGAAATGGTATTCCAGAAAAACCAGCCAGCTGGTGAGGAAGATGGCAGCAGGTCTGCTGCAYTTGGATGGAGCTGGGAGATATTTTTTTCCCTTGGTATTCTGAATGTTAAACCCTCCCTACAAAAAGAGAACAGGGAATATTCTGTATTTCAACAGTGCAGAGTTTTTCAAATGAGAATTCAACAGCATCATCATGGTATTGGGAATTATTTACTTAATTGCATCGTTCTTTTTAGCATATTATGGTAAGCCAAACCCAACACCATTTCTGGAATTTGGRGGCTGAGCAAGCCTCAGATGCCCTCATGTTGTGCAGATTATCATCACAGGCTTCATTGCTTACACGCTTTGCTGACYACGGGCTGTCCTTAGAAGGCAGAATTGTGATTCTCTCTTCTCTCACAGCCCCATTTATTGAGATATTTTAGAAGTAACCAGACAGCAGCGTGTGTGTTCCATGGACTGTTCTTGGCAGCAGTTTTGGTGCATTTCTCCAGTAAATTGCCCTTTTTTTTGGAGGTCTGTGTATCAAATGCAGTGGGAATTTCCCTCTGAGCAAGGAGAGYGTGGCAGACTCCATCCCAACTTTGGAACCCCCTGCAGAAATTCGGATGAGATCTATGCCTTGCAAAAATCTCTCCAAACTGTTGCATTATTTATTTTTATTCYGCTTCAAGGACAACACTTTTCAAACCAAGGGATGACACAAAGGAGCCCTGGGCTGTATAAATATAGAATCTTTTTATTTTTTTGGTTAATAGATACAGTACAATTTTTGACTACATAAGAAAGCGTTGTTCTCAGTGCATACATTCTTCAGACAGACAGGAACATGGCAGACAAACATTCCTTGGTGGTTTGGGTATTACATGGCACTTGGTTTATTTCTGGAAGTCCCAAGTTCCTGGCTTTTCCCAGTTTCCCGTAGTTTATTTCTGTAGGTCCCAAGTTACTGTTTTTTCCCTGTTTTCAGTGGCTGCTTTGACAGCTCAAGGTCTGAGGAAAGCTGAGTTGAGTACTGCCAGGAGAACAGGACACTGCTCAGTGCATCCCACATTGTTCTTCCTGTAACCACAGCTCTTGTGGTCCCAGCTGACCCAGGCCAGCAAATTTTCTGTTCTATGTTCACAAAATATGGAAATAACAATGTCAAACAAAGCACCCAGTGCTTGGGCTCAACACTTCCATAGTCCCCTGTGAGAGGATCAAATCCCAAATTCCTCCCTGAATTTTACTTGTGTAAAATGGTGCTGGAGTTGTGACTTTGACAAAATTCCTTATGGTTTTTTTTTTTTTTTGTGGCATAGTAAAAACCTGGGAAAATGGATCCCCAGCATTTGGCCATTACATTTTTGGGAAGGGAAAAAAGAATTATTGCTGCCTTCTGTGTTTTTCATTCACTGTGTGATAAGAAAAAAACTCCAGGCTGATCTGTGACATGATAGTGATCCTGAGCAGCTCCTGTGTTCAGGAAAACCTGATAATGCTTATCTTGTTCTGTAGCTGTTTGTTTGCCAACAATTCCTGGTGTGTCCAGCTGGTGCTGGTGGGATTTAGGGAGCCTGGAGCCCAGCCCACATCCCCAGAGCTGCGAGAGGCCAGATGGGATCTGCAAAGTGACACAGGGTGTGAAGGATCAGGGAGGAGATAAATCAGAAACTGTCACCTGGCCAGGGCCAGGCTGGCATTGCTGCAGTGCACCAGGGAGCAAATCCAGGGAGAGAAACACCTGGAAGCTCGGGATTATCCTGGCCATGCTCCAGGCAGGGTTTGTGTCACTGGGATGCCAAGCAGAGCAGCTGAGGCCTGCAGGKACCCTAAATGTGTTCACCTTCATCACTCAGGGGGTTTGTTTGACATCATTACCAGATTTTGAGTTTTATCTGACCTTCCTTGATAGCCCAAACAGATTCTATGAACCCTGTCTTGTGAACATAACTTGGGAGAACCTTACAGAAACCTCATTGATTGAGGAAAGGACCCTGGGAAAGATCAGATCCACACAGTCAYCAGCCTTCATTTCACTCCAGACATCAATATTGAAAAATCAGTAGATTAAAAAGCTTCTCCCATTCAGGGAAGGACACAAAGACACTTTCAGACAAGCTAATATAAACTAGTTTTCCTTGGCTATATATTGAAAGTTTAAGATGGAAAAGCTCATTTTAGATGATGTGTTCAACATCTGCAAGCACAGGATAAATGGCAGAGTGGAATGATCCTACACTGYTCTCATGGAAAAGGCAGAGCAAAGCAACCCAAGGGGACTGGGAGAGCAAATATCAATAAACAGMTGWAAAGGASAGAAAAGAGGGGATAGGARATTGTTACAAACAGCCTGAGCAAGRACACAYGGGTKAAGGCACTTGGACACCTGAGGGGARGTGATTGTTGGAGAGGAGACAACACAATTCTGTGGAGAGCTCTGAGCTCCTCTGCCCCARTTCTCTGGGCTCCCAAGAGCACAAAGCCAGCAGGAGAGAGCACCATCAAAGGAAACAAAGGTACATGTTAATACAGATCCCACTGAGCTCAGGTTAGAGAAAGCAGCTGGCAGACAGGAGTCGAGTAAGAATCCCTGAGAAGTCTGACAAAATAATAAACATCACATCATTTCGATAATTCCCCCCTTCTAATCCTCTAGCCAATCCACCAGTCTCCAATTAAAACCCAGGCAGTGGAAATCCCTCTCCTTTCACATGAGCTGCACGTGGTGACATTTCAGGAATGAGATAAACCTGCCAGATTCCTCCAGATTCCTGTTTCCTAACTGAAACTAAATAACGTGGAGAGTGAGTGAGAGGCAGAGACACTCCCAGCACAGGGAGATGCTGTGCCATGGCACTAGTGGGGCACTGTAAACGGGAGCCTGGCCTGCAAGCATTAGTGAAATGTTTAGTACAATACTTAACTCTGTTACATCTGGCTATCTCTTGCTCTTTGGACTAAAATGTTACAAATTTTTTACCAGATAAATGAATCCTATATTTGCTGCTACAGGGTACACTATATACATCATTGGAAGAAGAGAACAATAATTAAATTAGGGGAGGAGAGAGAAGGACAAACAAAATATTAGTAAATAAAATAGAAGACAATATGTTCAATAATACTTTTCAGGCAATACTTTTGCTTGTTACATTTACTATAAGGAGAAAAAACGTTTTCCACTCAAAACAAACATTGGAAACAGCTGCCCAAACATCAGTCAGTCCCTTCCATCACTGGACACTCGGAGGGGAAGTGGCCACAGGATCTGCTCAGGACGTTCTCCATTCTGCCAGTGCAGAGGAGCCCTCAGCTTTGGGGGTTGTCAGTGCAAGCAAGGGTTTAATCACCTGGAGAACTGGAACCTGTGCCCTGTTTCAGCCCATGTCGGGTGACCCAGGAAGGCTGATGTGTTCCTGAGAGCCAGAAGGGACCTGGTTCCCCCAGTCCACGGGGTCCCGCTCCCCAAAGGCGCTCCTGTGCCTCTGCTCTCYGAGAAACCCCTGCAGCTCATCCTGCAGAGAGGGGAGCCACGAGCTCAGCTCAGCCAGYAGAGCCCCCCATTCTTCCTCAAAACAGAACACACCTGCAGGGTTTGTTCCTACATTTGAAAATTCATAAGCAAAGGTTTTTCCAGGCCGTTTCCTCCCCCTCCAGCTCAAGGTGCAGTAATGAACATCTCCAACTGAGGCCATCGACAGCAGAGCCACACACCCTGGCTGTACCTTCTTTGCCTTTTGCCTCATCAATAACTTATTTCCACAAGAAGTGATTGATTACTTGATCAGAGCTATAGATAGCTAATTAGTGTTTGATACAAAACCAATCCAATGAGCTTTCTGGGGCTCATCAGATGAATTCTTTCCCAGTAGTTTCTGCTTTTCTATGACCAGCTCAATTTAATACACAGCTACTACAATACAAAGCAGTGCAAAATGACCATGAAGCAACTACAGCCCACACTTGTCTGGCAGATGCACTATGAGCAGGGGCTCTGGAGGGACTGCAGGTTAATAATTAATAATAATTTGATGAAAAATCGACTCTGAAGTCAAGGAGAAGGAGCAGTGCAGTTCCCCAGAGCCCATCCTTCAGATGCTCGAGCGTTCACAGTTACTGTGGGGTGGGGTTTGGAGATGTTTTCCCCTTTGATAATACCTGAGGCTTGTTTGTGATTCCTTCAGCGCAGCCCACCTCAAGCACTCATCCAGAAAAGCTTCCTGCGCTGCTGCGGGGGCGTGCAGCTGTCTTTGCCAAGGTAACATCATCGTTCTGAGAGGGCTGCATTTCATCCCCCTCTAGTTTGAATCATGAAGAAAAACTCCTTTTTCGCTGAAGAAGTCAAATCAAGGAAGAAAAGGGAAAGGCTGTGCAGGGCTTGGAGGAAACTGCCCAGGGAGCCATTTATAGATCCGTTTGTAACTCAGGAGGTTACAGCCCTCGCTGTCAATGAACATCTTGCTCATCCTGGCTTTTTCTGTTTGCAACCTAGAGACCTTTCCCTTCCTAAATTTTTAAAGCCGACTCTGATTGTTACAGAGCCCGTGAAAGGAAAAGGATTATTTGCTGTTTTTGGAGGCTGCTGTGATGATGCACAGGGCACACAGGGCACCTGGGCACACTTGTGGCAGTCCCTGCCACACACAGCTTCAGGGCAGGGAGAAACCCACTGTGAATCTCTCACATGTGAGAATTCATGATCCTTTCAGTGCTGCTGCAACAAAAACTTTGAATTACCTTGAACCCAGGAAGGTTCAGATGCAGATCTGAATAGGATACCAGGATTTACCTTGGCAAGACAGACAGAGATCACTGTGTGTCACACAGGCCTGCAGCTTAGCAAGGGCAAGTATTCCCMGGGCCAAACCCTGGGGCACTGCCACACAATCCAGAGGAAATGCTTTTTTTGTTGAGTGTGTTGTTTTAGTAAACAGCCTRTTGCAGAAAGGAAACATAAAAATGCTGCTGCCCTGCTGGTGGTGCCTCAAGGGTGTGTGAGAGTTTCTGTGTGACTCTCGTGCTGTTCATGAGTATTTTATGCACATTCACACAAACCTATGTGAAATACTGTGAGCTGGGAAATTCTGCTTGASTTAGGAAGGTTCTTATTTAAGGCAGTGATTTTGCCTTGCAACCATTACAGACGCATCCCCAGCAAGGTTCCCTATTACATGTCTGCTAAATAAACTGCTGTTTGAACAAGGGGAAATCAGGAATTCTGATTTGACACATTTAACACGCTGATTTAACAGATTTAACACAGATTTAACACAGATTTAACCCAGATTTAACCTCGCTGGCCCAAAAGAGCAGGCACACCAGTGCTACTAGCTTTCCTTGAGCCATGCCAGCTTTAGGAGTGTGTCCTCTGGGCAGTGGGCATTATTAAATCCAAATTGCAACCAAAATATCTTGGATTTCAAAAGATCCTAACCAATCCCTGCAGAATGTGTGCAGGGCCAGGATCTTGAATCTTGTGTTCCCAACCAGCTTTGCGAGACCCTTATGGGGTGAAATGGGAATGCAGGAACCTGTGGATTGGAAATGCCAATGGACAGACCCTGCCAGGGGGAAGGAGACACAGCAGTTTGGGGTGACAGCTCCTCCCTACGACTCTGATAGACAGAATGTTCTTAATTCACTGCACATAATGCAATAGAACTTCAAAGAGAAGAGAGAAGATGCTTTTAAATTGTTTCTAATCACATCCAAGATGCACCAGAAGAAACAGGTGAAGCCTTATCCTGGCAGAATTCCCTTCTGTCTCACCCAGGAGAGCCTGGCAAGGCTGAGAGGTGCAGCCCGTGCTGGGGGCACTGGTTACACTGGGGGGGCTGAGTAGTGGATGACAGAGTTGTAATCCGGGGGTGGGCTGTGGCATTCCAGGTTGGGATCCATGGGCAGCAGGACCGAGTCTTCCAGCGGGAAGTCCATGGTGTCCTCTTCCACCTGCACTGCTGGCTGGTACTTGACTGTCTCGTGGTCAGACAGGATGGATTCCTTGCTCCTGCTGACAGCTCTCCTCCTGTTCGGAACAAACATTGGGATTTATCCACCCTCTCTCCGTAGTTAACGGTCAAAATGATTTCTTTAAAAAGTAAACACATAAAAATCTCAATTTACCTCTATGGCACTCTATATGACAGTGACATTGAACTGACTGGATGAGGGGACTGAGATGGATATTTTAAATAACTTCATTATTTTAAAAGTAGATTTAGGAGTAAATCCCAGAGCTCTGTTGCCCTGTCCTTTCAGCTCACCACATTTCAGTGCACTCCAGATCTCTTACTTGCAAAGGCACCTGTCCTGTACGTACAATAATATCCTCCCTCATTGTTCTGACACAGGTCAGTAAAAATTTGACTTTTCTGAAAGCAGAACTGAAGGCTATGACTTTTCTTGAAGTATAACAAGGGATGAAATCCTGAATCATCTCTGAACAGACTCTAATTTAAATCGATACTGAAAGCGAGAGTGTGCGCTGAACACGCTCAGGCAGCGCAGGGCAAAATCCCCTTTATAATCCCCTTTTACTCCCCAGCCCTTCTACATTCCCGAGGGAGGGGCTGCTGAAGGGCAGCTCWGCAGCATTCCAGCTGCTTTGATCTCCTGTCTTCTCTTGTTCCAAGTGATGGAGGTGTGGGACACAGYAACTTCCACCACATGGGGCACCTCAGGGTTAAAAGCAGAACCCTGAGAAGATTTGTCACAAGGTGACTTTGAGGAACAGCAAGGGTTGTGGAGAACTCAAAAAGCTCTTTCTGTCCTAGACTGCCCTAAAAATATCATTCTGTCAACCTTGGTTTCTGCCATCTGAGCATTTCATTGGAAGGGGCCTGGATCATTTCGGGGTGGTTCTCAAAAGGATCCAACGTGAGAATGGCTTTGGAGCTGCTGCACTTTGCTCAGGACCCTTCAACTGCAGCTCTTGGGAAGGAACCTCAGTCACAGACTCATCACAGCTCTGCCCAAACCCCAGTTCAGAATGACATCAATGTGCCTGGGAGAATTAAAAAYCAGGCAGTGCCCAAGCACTTTGTGTGTGTATTTCATATGTGTTTAAATTAGGATAAAGTTACATTTTAATGACTCTAAACTAAATCTGAGTAGTCAACAGTTCATCAAATAATTGTAGAATTCATTACACTCATTTTATTGGCACTTCTGCAATGCTTCCAGTCCCCAGCAGCTGCTCACGGGCTCGCTGGGGTGCTTTAGGAACAAAAGCAAAGCCAGYTCCTGCTGCAGGGAACAAACCAACAGCCAAGAGCCAGGGACACAACTGCAGGGAGGGAGCAAAAGGCATGAACAGGAAATAGCAGATCCAGGCCAGGRGCTGTGTGTGTGCCACATTTTGGTGGTGGTGGTGCCTGGGTGGGCACAGCCCCAGCTCCTTTCGGCTGGGGAGGGTAAACATGCCCTGCTGGGCTCTGCTGTGGCACTTCACAGGCTGTGCTCTCTTGCCTCTCAATCTGGAACCTGTCAAGAGCTTCAGCTTTCCCACAAGCTGCAGATACTGTCACTGACTGACAGAATCCRTGTCTTGAAAAAAAAAAAAWTGAAATTTTTGCAGGTTCTGGAAAGATCCCAGGTGTTCAGAGCGCTGGCTGGAGTAGAATGCTGCTTTCTGCTCTGTGCACAGCCCAAAGAACACCTGTAGGCTCCACCTGTGAATTACCTACCCCTGCAGCTCTCTGCTGTAGGGCAGTGTGTGCTSATGTTCTGKGTATCAGTCAYRGAGCTCCTGTGCAGCCAAATTCAYACAATAACACACGGCTGCAGCTCTGACYAGCTGCACCGGGATATGTTCAATTTTAGAGTCTGATTTTTGTGTGCTGTGCTGCCTTTCCATGGCACGCTTGCCTCTCCAGCTCTGGGAAGTGAGCCTGAGCTGGAAGAGCCAGCCCACCACATCCTGCATGTCTACAATGAACCTGGGCTCTGTGATTTCTGCAGAGTTTACAGAGCAAAGCTGCTGTTCCTGTGCTTTCAATCTGTGCATTGAAACCAAACCTGTGGAGGGGCAGACCAGAAATCCTAAAATCAACAGTGACCCTGAGAATTCCAACAAAAATGTAGCACCCTCTGCTTTCACAACTCAGTTTTTCCTCATTGTCCAGATTAAACCATGAGAGGAAACTCCTCATGTATCCTACACTTTTGGCAGCTCTCCATCCTCTACACACACAGTTTGTCTGCAGATAAATTCCTCCCTGACACGAGCAGTGGAAGCACAGCTTTGCCTCCTGTTTATTTAATTCTCCTTTTGCTGCTCAGTTCCATTGACTCGTGTCGGACAATTCCACGGATGCTCTGCCTTCCAATTTGCCAGGTATTAAAATGGTCACTGGAGACTGGGAGAAGCCTGAAAATATCTGTTTAACTTGGCCCCAGCTTGCATAGCTGTGAGTTATTAGGGTTTATTTTGGCTGCACGATGGGAAATTCTCAGCCTCCTGCAGACTCCCAGCAGGTGCTCCTGTGGGGTTGCTGCCCCTGTGGGTCAGGAGATTGGATATCTGGGAATAACTGTGCCTGATGCTGAGATCAGSCTGGGCTTTGAAGCACTCCTAACACTGCCATGTCCTATCAGACAGAAAGCTGATGGGTTAGGGCAGCAGGAAGCTGTGTCCTTTGCTATCTAACTGCAGACCAAAATGCAATTAACTTCCAATTCCACTCCTTTCATCTAAATGCACTTCCTAATTAAAGCTCTCCGAGGGGCTTTGCGTTTTCCCCTTTCATCTGCTGGTACTGACACTTGTTCTGCTCTGCCTGTGCTGTGTTTGGGATGAGGCTGCAGCATCCCTTCTCCATCTGTCCTTGGCATCTCATTTGCTCCTCAGAAACTGCCAGAGCCCCTCAGAGCTCAGCCCTGCCTCGGCTGTGGGCAGTGCTTGGGGTTCCAGGGGACAGCAGGGACCCCTTTATGGCCTGTGTGAGACAGAAACCTTCTCCCTGAACCCCCAGTAACAATCTGGGACTGGAGGTGTTAGATTTGATTAATCACACAATTCTCAGTTCTAGGAGTTAACCATGGTTATGGAATGACATAATTCCATGAAAAACTGGCCATTCCTTGGTTCAGTGCCTCTCCTGAGGTGTTTCCTCCCCGCTTTGCCTCTGCCTGACCCCACAGAGCTGGGGGAGCCCATCAGRGATGCTCAGCTCTGATCAATCTGAGCTGGGACTGCCCAGGCCAGGCTCCCTGGKCAGTGTTCCCACCATGGCACAGCACTGAGGATCGGGGGGAATGCCACAATATCCAGCTGGAATTCAGCTGCCCACTGACCCAAACTCGTCACGCTTTGCACTGACTGCCCTGAGAACTTGCACAARGTGTCCCTTTTGGGGACACAGACTGAATATGAAGTAATCTTCCACAAACTTTTTAAAGTTTTCTGAAGGTGCTGAAGYTGTTTAGAAGGTACCAGAGAGGATAATCCTACAATAGCTTGAAGGCCTAAGTGACCTCCTGAGGCTTTTTCCTCCTGCTGAATGAACCAGAGATTCTGGAGGTAGAAAACACCGAAATCATCATCAAAGAGYGGGAAATCATTACTGCAGCTGTTTATTTTATGTGAGAGGGAGCCAGTTTCTCTTAATCTGAATGCTGGGGTCAATGACTTGAAGAGGAGTGTGGAGAAAGAGGGATGAGTGCAGGAACATCACYGGGAGCAGGGAGGGAGTCCAGCCCCAAGGGCAGCACTCCCTCAGTGCTCTGCAGCAGCTCCCACTGCTCTGCAATCACAAACACAAATATTTTTGCCCTGAGTAGGAAAAACTCATAGACTTTTCTGTCCATGTAGGAAACCTGGCCATGTTCAGAAGCTGTGTTTAGGGAAAGATGAGAAATTGGGCTGTTTGCTGCCAAGTAGAGCAGTTTGTCTCATGACTACATCTTCTAATAACATGTAGGAGCTTCAGGGCTTTGTAGGAACTTTCAAAGGTGTTTAATGAGGCTCAGAGTTAGAGAGGTTCTTTTTTTATTTTAATTTTTCCACAATTAAAGCAATAAAAGAGTTTTTTTTTTCCTCCTGGTAGCTATGACTGATTCACAGTTTGCTTTAATATATTTTCAACTGAGTGCTGTGCAGTAGGAATTTCATCATGGGCTCCCCTCTGGCAGTACCAGGGCATCAGCAAGGAGAGCTCGAGGGGCTGGGCTCAGGAATTCATGTTTGTGGAAACACTTCCAAATACCAAGTGCAGGTAACAAAGTTTTCTCACCCCTGTGTTCCCTCACGTGTGTGGCCAGGCTGCTCATCTGTCCCTGTCCAAATGCAGTGGGATGGAAAAATCTGCAGTCAAATCCACAGCCCTTCACAATTYCCCTTCTAGTCCTTGCTGCTGTAAGCACAGAGCTCAATCCTTGAAGAAAAAGTGGTTTACATAACTCCTGAGTAGCTACTCATTCCTCGTTCCAAGTTTTAGTTTGGAGAGCTCAGGTCAGGTCACAGTGCAAGGTGCTGCGTGACACAACAATAAATATATTTATTATTGTCTGAACTCCATTCTGCCTGGAGCAAACATGTTCCCATGGTTTCACTGAGAGGTGCAAAAGGATTCCAGCCCAATGCTGGCTGTGTTTTTGTTGTGCACTTTGTGTTTGGACAYGAGTGCCTCATGTTCCTGAGCAAAATGCAGCATTTCAATATTCCTGCCTTGCCTTAGGCCCAGCTTGGCTTTGGCAGAGCCCTCAGTGATGGATGTGGCTGCAGCAGCCAGAGCCCAGCGGGGATCAGCTGAGCCTAGACTGATGTGGGACTGGGCCAGAACCAGGTCAGGGATTCCAGAGCAACAGAGGATAACTGGGTTTGGGGGAGAAGGGGAAGGGATGGGGCAGGACAGCTGAGCAGATATCAAACCTTTTGGCATTTAAACAAGAACTTGATTAGACAGTCTCTGGGAGAATTTTCAAGCAGTGCTTGGCAGCAGTGATAATATTATGAGATGGAACCTGACAGCAGAGTAAGCCCATCACTAAATCCCCTCGGTGCTTCCCTGAATGCTGATCCCAGCCTTGTTATCCCAGGCCATCCTTCCATCTCTCACCACAGCTACTGCACAAAATGCTCCAAACTTCCCTGCTCTGTGTCAGCAGCAGGAAATGCTCAGGACTGSTTAGTCCAGCCTAGCAGGGAGCCCAGGCCCAGAGTATCAGATTCCTCATTTCTAAACTCTTGACACTGACACTCCGTGGTGTGTGCTGTTGGCAAATTTTAAGCTCAACGGAGGAATGAATGCAGGATAAATAAACAGGGAGATTTTGGCAAAAATAATAAATGCAGCCACCCTAGTTTAGAAAACATGCTAAGCCTTTGAACAGTTTTGTTTTAGGAAAKAAAGACTTTGAAAAGGATCCAGGGTAAATGTTTTTGATAGAGAGAGATACACAATTAACAAGGGTGACTTTATCTCCCCTGTTAAACCCACACTCCCTTCTGACCTCTCTAGATTGTTCCACAGGCTTTGGAGCCTTGTTTGTCCAGTTCTCAGTGCAGGAGCACCCAGGGGTGTCCTGTCCTCAAACGAGAGGAATTTGGGGGGCTCTACACTGTTAAAGCTGCTCTTTGTGCCAAGAAAGGTCTGCAAAACTCAAAAAAAAAGAGCAGCTGATAAAAAGCTTTCTGAGCTGGACCTCAAACACTGAGGGAAAGATGTGGCCAGCGCAAACCCATCTGTGTCCATGCCATGGTAGCCAGGGGCTAGGGATTGGGAGATACCAGGCACAGCCTGCTGCAGGCTCTGCTGGGCACAGGAAAGCTCAGGAACCTCCTGATGGATGGAATTCTTGTGGAATTGGGGACTGGAAGTGGGGAGAGCCCAGATGGTGGGGTCAGACAGGGAATCAGTGCGCCCACAGAGCCTCATGTTCACTCCCAGAGGGCCTGAGAGCAGTTCAGAAGGTTCTGGAAATCTCCAAAGAACAGGCTGGGATGGATTTTTGTGTTTCTACATCTGGCTGGGTGTTGACTTTTCAGATTTTGAKGAGAAAGGCTGGAAGGGGCAGAGAGGGAAGGGAACCTTCCTCTGCCAAGCCTTTATCCAAATAGGAACAATGCAATAGGGAAAAGCTGTCAGGGGTGACTGACAGAAATCCCCAGGGGGATGAATCTCGTCAGGGAGGCTGCTGTGTGTGTGTAGGATTTGTGTCAGTGTGACATCGTGCAGAAAAGAGGGGAATCAGYCCAGGTAAAGCATCACAGCAACATCTGAGCTCCTGATTTGAGAGCTGCTGCCATTTGGTCTCCATGGCAATGGCCTGTGCTGGCAGAATGCTCTGGGTGTGTGCAGGGGATAAAAACATGGATTGGGATTGGGATGTTTGCTCGTCCACCAGCTCCAGCCCCACAGGAAAACACTGCTGGACAACAACATTCCCGAGGCCACACTCCTGTCCTGCACAGTCCAAGCATTCTGATGTTCCTTGGTAGTGTTGTCCTCCCTTCCTCGTGAAACCTTCTCCCTTTTCCTCCTCTCCTGCMCTCAAACATCAGGGAATTGATGCTTTTAAGGCACCAAAAGACAAGGTAAGCCCTTGTATCTGCCTTTCTCTCTGAGTGAGAGACAGCCTCTGCACTCTGACCATGCCCACTCCTAGAAACTCTCCCACAATTTCCAGAAGTGCACCAGGCTTCTTCTCATCCCTCATTTATCTTTCTTTCTAAAGTTTTTCTCATTTCTCATCCCTCATCTCTTTTTCTCTCACTTGGTGTAGAACAAGCACCTGCTCTGCTGGGAAARGCCATGGAGTTCCTCAGTGCAGAGAAAACTCACACAAATCTCAGCAGATTTCAGAGGAAGCTCCAGTCAAGCCAGTAATTAGTTTAATTAACTAAAYAGAAAAGGAATTCATCACTACAGATGATTTTAAAATATTTTGGGCAGCTATTCTTTGAAATTCCACATGTTGACCTTTGAATCAGTAAAACGGGCTCCTGTTGTTAATAAGGTGGAGAAGGTTTGTACTGGGTCACCTCTCTGCCTGGGTGGTTGTTACTGAAACACAAAGAACTGTGAGCAAAAAACCAAAAATCTGCTTTTCCTCTTCTGTGCTYGTACTATGAATGGATAAAAACTCAGCAAACCCTGAACCAGCCTCTGTTTGTAAACCAGGTGTGAACAACAGAACCCAGGGGCSATGGAGGTGGTGGGATTGAGGGAATTCTCTGCAGGACCCTCTCTCAGGATGATGAGAAGGCAAATGGAGCAAGCAGGGCTCTGGTAAAGGCACTGCTGAGGSTGCTCTTTACTCTGCACAGGACTTTTCACTTCACTCACATCCCAYGAGCTGCAAAGATGCCACTCCTTCTGTCTGAGTTACATCTACCCACTGCTATCATCACAAATGTCAGGGTTTGGGTTAATAAATCAAAATCTTCAGTCTTTGTTCCATCACTGAGAGAGAACACTGGGGAGGGAGGGAACAAACAGCTAAATCAGACCTGTATATTCCCATTTTTTTTTTCCTATTATCAGGAGAAATATTTATCCTATTATTATTATTATTATTATTATTATTATTATTATTATTATTATTATTATTATTACCACTACTATTATTATAATAATAATTTCCCATTTGCAGAATCCACTGCCCCCTGGTCTCAAACCACACGAGCCAAGGTCTTTTTGGTTATGGGACTGAAATTCAGAATTCATCTCCTTTTAGCTTGCCTGGACATCCTGTATTTTTCCTTTGGGCATCAGAAACCAAACTGAAAATTTCAAAAGCATTTCTCTGAAGGGAAGAACTGTCTGGAAAAGCAATTCCTCAGAATACTCACGCCAGAGCCATGATCCCATAGGGCCAGGAACGGATTTCCAACCTCTTGGGGCTTTTGATCTCCTCTGACGTCAGCACCATTCCGCTGTCCGACTCCTGAGGAGCAAAAAGGAACATCAGGGATATCTGGAACCTCTGTGTTGGGTGTAGGAGCTACCAATCCTTCAGGATATTCCCTTATCAAGGCCCGTGTTATCAATTTTTCTCCYACTTTTCCTGATAGTGCTGCTCTGGAGCCTGGGAACGTTGCCCTCGGTTTTGTGACACTAAAGTTTATGATCTGCATTTCCAAAGAGCACCCTTAAAAYGAACACATCAGAAAATAATTTGACATTTTCAAATTTGAAGCTGATATTAAGCATGGCATATGGGCACCATGTACGTGGGAAAGCTGAGATATGAATAGACTGAGATTCATAAAGAATATATCCAATAATTCTGGCTGGGCTGCAAGGAAAAGCTCCCTAAATAAACTGGAAACACACAATTAGAAACACTGGAATTTGAGGGAAGTGGAAGTTCAGTAGCATTTTGTAAATGCGAGTGCTTTGCAAAGGTTTATAGCCCTGGCCTTTATGGATTTTTTAATGATCTGTCTGACAAAACTGTCTTGATTAWAGCTGGGGTTATGATGCTGCTTCACTGAAAGCTGAGTCTCGAGACTGAAATGAAATCAAACTTTGTTGATTGAGTTTACACAACTACACAGACATCACAGTTCTCATTTTAAGTAATTTTAAAATATTAAATGGTCTGGGGGTTCCTTTGCATTTGAAATATTTCAAATATATTTGATACATTTGATAAATCAATATCAATTGATACTGGAGAGTTGCACATCTGAGCATTTGTCAAAACCAAGGCAGCATAAGTGAACTCACAAGTGAAACTCCACTCTGTCTTATTTTACCAGTCAAAGTGACAGAGATGTAAAAAATAATCTCATCAAACAATAAATAACAAACAAAAGCCATTTAAACATGCTTTGGTCATCTATCAGTTGTTAAAAAGATTGGTTTATAAAGGAGTTTATAAAGTGAAATCCCAAATTCATGAGGTCTGTCCAGCCCTTGGTGAAGCCCAGCTTGTCTCTGGATTTTATTCCCTGTTTCCCCTTCAGACATGTGGTCCAGGACAGTTAATCTGGRGGCTGCTCTGCGTTTTGCTTACACCCCTCTGCTAAAAGGATCTCCCCGGAGATCACAGAGAAGTGGCACAAAGACAGGAATAATAACTAATGACTGCTCAGGCCTTGATAATTAACAAAACTTCAACAGCCCAAGTGCACTTACTCTGTCCAAAAGCAGATCAGACAGTGATTTCAATTGAAAAGATCCTTGTTGAAATATCAGGTTTACTTCTGATCTCTTGATGCATTATCACCCTTTTGGGAATCTGTTCCCCCCTCATGTAAAGGCTTATTTCAAAATGCCACGAGCAGGGAGCACTTGGACAGGTAATGCTCGTGCTGGCAGCAATAATCTCACACTGAGWCTGGATTGATCCAGCAAATGTCTCTGTGTGATTCACAGGGACAGATTTTATCCTGTAAGAGGGAAGATGCAGGAGCCAGGGAAATTTCTGAGCTTTCTAATCCCTGAGATGCGCCGATAACGAGACAGGAATTCCATCTGGTAAAATGCGAGGCAATAATGGGCCTCAATTTGTGCTCAGCAGAGAACTAATGAGAAACACACTGTATTTGTCAAGGGCAGGAAATATTTCCAGGATAAACTGGRGCTGGAGCCTTGAGCCTGCCCAGGGGATTGGGTCTGGAATGGCTCTGTCCAGGAGGGACCCAGCAGGAGCTGTCCTTGAGCTGCCCCTCAGCCCCTGAGGCTTCTCCTCCTGTGCCAGGAGCTTTCCTGAGGGGTTCAGGATCCCCCCAAAACTCTGATCCCATCCCAAGCATTTGTGCAGGGCAAAGGACCCTCCCTGGGGACACAGGAGGAGCCACTGGGGCAGCAGGTGGGGACAGCACACAGAGGGAATTCAGGAGCTGCTCCTGGAGAGCTCTTTGATTTTTTTAAATGAGAAAATCCAACTGGTAATTTCAGASGAAGCCAACAAGCAGAACCATCACTCTGTAACAAACCAAGCCTTTGTTTTCTCCTGGAGGGAAAATTAAACCTTTAACACTCTCCCACCCTGCAGTGGCATTAAACTAGCTAGAAATACACTCACTTGGAATGAGGAAAACTCAGAGTTAAAGCCCTTTGTGTGGATCAAGACCAGGATCTTGAACCTTTGYCTTGTCTCCCCAGAACTGAGCACCTTTACACCCCCACCAGGTGATTGTCTGCCTCAGCCAGCCTGAATGTGTTCTGGACACACTCCCCTCCAAGAGCTCCATTTCAATGAGCTGCCACTTTGGTATGGTGGAAAACCATCTTGAAATGTAATATAGATTAAATCAAATGTAACATAAATTAATCAGTTACATAAAAAAAAATAAAATTATGTAACATAAAGCCCCTTAGCCAGGGCCATCACATGTGAGTTCTATTGAAATTATTTAAGAGACATGCAAGTCCCTCTTTGCTGTCACACATCCCCATGTGGGTGCCAGGGCCAAATCTCCTGCCTGATTTCAAGCTCTCTCCTCCCAAATAGATTTGAGAAGCTCTGATGAGGGTTTCTGGTGCTGCTGATGGGTAATGTGTGAGCCTGGTGGGGAAGGATGAAGCCACCTTGCTTACCTCATGCATCACTTTCTCCTTTTCCACTGGCACCTCATCAAATGTCTTCACACTCAGGGGTCTCTTCTCGCTGTTGTTGCTGAAAACAGGAAAGTTGAGGGGTCAGCAGCAAACCCAGGCAGATGCTGCACYCGCTGCAGCTACATCCTCACACAGCCCAGTTCCCTGGAACACTTCCCTTTTTCCACCTCTCGTAACACCCTGACAAATTTGTCTGATTTTTTAACCAGCCCTACACTGAGAGTGGACCCCAGACAGTGAAATGTTTCTTTCCCCCACCCTGTATCTGTTTTTCTCACCCAGTTTCCACTGCGCTCCAGCGATTCACTCCGTTGTTCAAGTTTTCTTCCACAGGGCAGGTTTTGGAATTGGATTCTCCATCTGGACACAAGGTGATGTTCAGTGGAATATAGTCTTTGCCATCCTGTGAAATTAARAACAGCAAAGAGCACAGAGCTGGTGAAGTTCATTTTGTGCCACATCTCACATGTARGAGGTGATTGTGTCCTACAGAGCTTTGTGCAGAGAGAGGACTGGGCTGTGTTTTAACTGAACTCTGTTGGAGGTGATTATGATGTTCCTCACACCCTGTGGAAGTTATGGAAGTTGGAATGCACCCTTCATCCAAGGATTACTGTGCAGGGAGGGAGCTGGGGCACTTTGGGAATGCTGGGATGTGGAAAGGCTGAACAGACTCAGATATTGCAGTCCTGGTCAGGAGCAATTGCCCACGGACAGAATGGACAGACTGCTTGGGTTTGTTCAAGTTCAGGAGCTGCAGCTTGGGAAGAGCCAGGCCTTCACATGGGAGCCTGACAGGATTTAATTTCAYGTCCTCCCCAGGAAGTGCTGCTGCACATGGTAATGAGCTCTGCATTGTCATTACCCCCCTGCAGTAATCCTCAGCAATGACTCTGCCTGCAGCTCCTGAAACCATTTCCCCACATTTCACTGTGCTTCTTTTTTTTTGTTATTTTTAATTTTGAGAACCAGTTAAGTGCCCTATTCCCTTATCATGATTTTTATGTCTCCTTAATTTACTTTGGTTATAGAATCAAACTCACAAGCTCTTCATATTGCAGACTGGGCCCTCTTCAGCTCAGCTCCACTAAATTTGTTTACAAACAGGAAGGAGATGGAGGAGAGTGTTTGATTTCTTCTTCAATTAAATTGACAATTGCATAACTGCTCTGGTTGTTTTTACTGAAGAAGAAAACAACTGCTTTAACTGTTACRAAATTAATAATGGTATGACTGACTTTCTGTGCTGTAACTGTAAAGCTTCTAAGAGCACTGGTGAACATAAACTTGGAAATGAGAGAGAAAATTCAGGAGGTGGAGCAAATCAGAAGCAAAATTAACATTTGACTTTACTCATCCCAGCAGGCGTTTTCTTTGTGAGCTCTGGTAGGAAGTGAAATTTCACATTTCAGCATAACCTTCACCTCTGCCCATGCAAATGTCCCCTTTTCTTGAAGAAAGGCTGGCTCTGCTGTACCTGCTGCACGTTGGCCTGAAGAAGATCCCCCAGGCGCTCCACCAGCTCRGTGAACGTCGGCCTCTCCGTGGGAACTCCGTGCCAGCAATCCAGCATTGTCTGGTAGCTGGAGAAATTAAACAGGGATTAAGAATGGGGAAGGATTGGAGCTTGGCTTCCAAACTATTTCATTCCACTGCTCCTTGGTTTGGCCAGCCTTTGGATAGTTTGGGATTAGGACAGGTCCAGATCTCCATGTGCTGTAATTCTGTTCTAATTCTCATGGGAGATGTTTTTATTTCCATATTCCTGCCTCAGCTGAGCCTGCAGGCCTTTTGTTTTCACTGACCCAAAGTCTGGCTGCTGGGCTGTGCTGATAGTGCTGAAATAAGTCCTGGTTGTGGATGTTTTTTTTCTGTCCCAGAATCTGAGGTCTGAGCACCATGAACTACAGCTGACATGAGGCACCTGATCATCTTCGTGTTGGCAAACCCCAGCCTGCCTTGGGCAGTCTGTGCTGTCAGACACCCAAAATATCCACAAGCACAGCTTTACTGAAAATAAAACACACAGCTGTGGCCTCCTTCCCCCTCCCCAGTTAAACACAATCTCTTCCGTGGGATGGATCAGCTCCCAGCCCAAAGCCAGCAGCTCTTACACTTCRGGGGTGGAATATTCTGGAGATCTCATCCGGGTCCCCTCCTTGAGCCGCCGGCAGAAATCCTCATCGATCTGCACTCCGGGGTATGGAGAGGCACCTGGGGAGAAAGGGACAGGCTTCAGGGTGGCACGGGCTCTGCTTAACAACCTGGGGAACTGGAGATCTCTGCTGGGCATTCCAGGTGACCCAGAGCGTGGCAGTGACAGGAGCTAGAGCAAAGAGGGACTTGCAATCACTCACAGTCTGCTTTGGATAGGTTTGGAAATTTGTCACTGACTCACTCTGTCTCTTTAGACACTTCAGTCATTTGTGATACAGTCAGGACCACTCCAAGGTAAAACAGGGCAGAGGAGAAAGAAACTTAATCAGTKTGAGACTTTAAATGATGCCTTGGTCAGTGACAGGAAAGTTCCAGCTCATTCCGTGGGTTACTTGTGTTTTCCAAACCATTAGCCTGGTGTGGATACACACGGGGTAAGTAATTCCTGCTCACCCTTCACTGCCTGAGAACCCCTGTGAGWAACTGCAGAGGGGGCTGTGGGCACCCCAGGTGTGGAATGGCAGCCCTGGCTCCCAGCTATCAGATCTGCATTATCCTACAGGGAAAACTTCCTTGCCAATGACCTTGCAGCTTTCCTGCCTGTGTGTTCAATTCTGTTCACCTCCAGCGCCGCTCCAGTGTTAGCTGAGTTTCACCTGGGATTGCTGAGTGCTGTGAAGGGCTGGGAGCTTTGTGTTAACTCCCACTAAATTTTGGGGAAGTGCTTTGGCATCTGAGTAATCCAGACCTCACTGGTGAAATTGAGGAGAAGTCTAAGCTGAAGTTTGAAATGTTACTGAACCAACTGTGATAAAATGAAAAGATTTGTAACTCCCTTCYCTCCCTCCCTTCCTCCTCAGCAAAAGCTTCCCATGCAGCACAACCCTTGTCTTGGACATTTTGGCATCCCAGAGGCTGGATGATGGATTTAGAAACAATTTAATCAAGTCTTAACACAGGGGATTGAGTGGGATCTGTATCCAGCCCTTGAGGAATCTGTGTATGATTTACTGTCCATAACATTCCTGCATAGTTCCCGTTTGGAAACACCACCATGTGCTGTGCACTTGGGGGCACGACAAGAACAGCAGAAATCTGCTGGATAAAGCAGTGAGAAGGGTGCCAAAACGTGGCTGCTTCCAGAATTATTGTGCTCTGTGAGTCTGGCTGCTCAGTGTGCAGAGCCCTGCAAGGGAGAGCTGAGATCCCAGAGCTTCCTAAGGGGCATCTCAGCCCAAATGGGCTCCCAGGACATGCAGAGCCCTGGGATGCTGAGCCCCTGCACATCTGAATTTCCTGCATGTGCAAGTACCAGACCACAGGACTGACAGTGTTTCCTGGAGTGTCAATTGGAGATAGTCAGTACCACCCTTTCTGCTTTATACCTGGATTTTCCTTCTATTTTGGCCTTTGGCCTGGCATTATGCCTGGAATAGCCTGGTAATTAACTGCTCATCTCATGGATAGACAATTCCACTTGGTCTCACAGTCTGAGTTCTCTGTCTCTGATCACTGATGAGATCAACTGCACGGCGTTGGTGAGAGAAATACAAGGAAGGCAAAGAGTAACAGTGACAGGACAAGGAGTAATGGGACAAAGAGAAAGAGGGGAAATTTCAGTTAAATATTAGGATGAAATATTTCGCTGTGGGGTAGTAAGATTCCGGCACAGGTTGCTCAGGGAGGCTGTGGATGTCCCATCCCTGGAAGTGCTCAAAGGCARTCTGGATAAAGCCTTGGTTTGGTGGGAGGTGCCCTGCCCATGGCAGTAGAGATTGGCACTGGATCATCTTCAAGGTCCAATCCAACCCCTGAGCATTCCATGATTCTGATTCACTTCTGACTGCAGAAGCTTTTGGGAGTTTGTATTTTGACTGGTGCTGGCCTCCTACCAGCTGGAGGCAGCTCAGATCACAAAAGCAAGGAACTCTCCCTTTTCCACTTCCACCCAGTGCTGTCCTTCATCTGCACTGGGGATAAATCCAGTAACTTGGATTTGGAATGTTGAGACGGCTTGGGAGCAATGTAGGCTGGGACATGTGGTGTAAGGTCTACACAAGATGCTTTCCTTAGGGRGAATCTCATCCAAAATGCTCCAGGATGTGGCATGCATTGGATATGGGAGCCCTCTTTTGATCTTGGTGCTATTTTRGTGGGATAATRAGATGCTGATGTTACTACCAGGCAYTGCTTGTTTGCATAATTATCTCTGATTGCTTTTGGAACAGCGCACGTGGAAATTGCAGGAGACACCGACATTGTGAACCAGAAGGGATTCAGGATGTATTAAACACTGCTGCCACTACCTGACACGAGGTGTGCTGACCCCATTTGAATAATTTAAAGCTCATTGCATACTCGGCCCCAGATGGAAATTAATATTACCTCAAGTCCTGATTTCCCTGCGTCTCACCAAAGCAGATCCAGTCTGCCAGCCTTTCTGTGTCCTTCACTCACCTTCTGATCTTGCAGGGACCCAAACTAAACTCAGCATTCTCCTAATCATTATTTTCCCTGTTTTTAGGCTGTGCTCAGTCTGTGGGACCCAGTGAGAGCAGCAGSTCTAAATGGGAGCCAAAACACACCCTGTGACACTGACAAATAACTTTCATCCCTCAGCTCTCGATGATCTGTGAAACTTTTATATGAGAGAATTCAATCAGTGACACAAATCCTTAATTAAATATTTATCGTTTGAGCTGCAGATGTGAGCAGTGCCAAACCACAGGCATGCCTGGATGAGCTGGATGAAAAACCCTCTCAGAGAAAACGACTCCTTTTGAGCCTGTGCCACCGACTGCGAGAGCAGTTTGTGATCTACGTCACCGCCAGGGCAGAGACTGCTGCACGGGTGGCAGCCCTGCAGCAATTTGGGAGCTTCCAAATTCAGAAGGGGACGGTGCCAAGCAAGCACCTGCATCTAGAAAAGGGGCTAAAAGGACCCAGAGAAATTATTTTTTTTTAAATAGATGAAAATAGAGATGAAGTTCAATGACTGGATTGAGATTTGTGTTTGGGATTTGATATTAAAGGCCAAATGACCCAAAGTTTGCATCTGTTAAACCCTGCCAGGACCTTTGGGAATGATCCAAAGTATGTTCCTGCAGTGTCCCTTGGATTCCTTAGCATTCCATTCTTTGGTTCCCAGGGGACAGCCTGCTCCCCCCAAGCTTGGCTCTAAGTACTGATGATATTCCTGAATAATCTGGTAAAATTGGATTATTCCTTTCCACAAAAAACTTTGCCTGTCTGTAGTGTTTCTAAACCTGCAGCAGGTGATGCTTTTACAGAGCCATGGAGCTGTTACCCCAAAAGAACAACACCCTAAACAAGCAGGGCTGAACCCCAATGAAAGCAGGAGCTGCCTCYTGTTTCAACCTCTTGAGTGTGAACTTTCTGCTTGGTGTGCAGATGGGGACAAGGGAAAAGTCCAAATCAAAGACTTGGACTGCAAGCAGGTTATGATTTTGCAGCCAGCCCTAAATAAAGATTAGGATAAAACAACTCCAGACTTTGCATTTTCACTTGGCATCTTGAGCCCAATCATTAATTTCAACTGATCCACAAACTAAAGATAGAAAGAGATTAGAGTTTGCTTAAAATCCTGCAGCTTAAGTTGACAATGCTTCTTGTTTTCTTTTGTCTGCAAATGCTGATTAAAAATACAGAGCTGACATTCCTAAATTCCCTCAGGAAAACAAAACTTGCCACTCTGCAAGGAGAGTTGGAGAGCAGCAAAGTCTGAGTGTCTGTGGGGCTGCTTGTCTGAGTTTCACAGCTTTATCTGCTGGACAGTAACCAGATCTCAGGGAGGCTGAGATTTCCAACAGCACCCTGGGATGAGATCTCGAGTACATAAAGAACATTATTATTAATCATTGTTATTCTTTTAGAAATGCTGTGGCTTGCAAGTGGTGCAGCCAGAAGAGCCCATGTTCTACCTTTACTCTGCTGCCAAAAGGGTTTAGGCTGAGCCCAGCACTGGTTCTTGTGCCTCGCCAACAGCAGATTTTTCTTACATAGAAAATCCTAGGTTTTGTGGGGTAGGTAATCAAGCTGGGATAAAATATCATGTGATTTGTGTTCCATGGGCTGCCAGCACCAGCAGCAGCCCCTGTGGCCCCAGCAGGTGCCCCTCTGCAGCCTGGGAGCTCTGGGGTTCTCTGAAGCAGATATCTGCCACTCCCAAGCAGCAGAGGTTTGCCACTTATCTCTGAGCTCCGTTGCTTTCACTTGGTACAAACGTCAGGCCCAGGGGTTTGGATTTTTCCCCTCCTCCCCAGGGTTTTCATGCCCTTTGTCAGGTGAAGCTCTCACTGAAATTGGCTTTATTTCACCGCTGATCTGTGCTGTGCACTTGTCCTCAGTGAAACACAAACACTGCCCCACATTACCACCTTTTGTTAAAAGGTTTCCTTAGCAAAGCAGCCATAAACTAGGGGGGAAGAAAGGTTTGAARCCATTCTTACCTAGAGAAAATATTTCCCACAGCAGCACTCCAAAAGACCACACGTCGCTCTGCGTGGTGTAAATTTTGTCAAAAATAGCTTCTGGAGCCATCCACTTGAGTGGAAGTCGTGCCTGAAAGCCAGAGACAMAAGAGGTTGCCAGAGCTGCTGTTATTGTTCTGCCCAAGCCCACGGGAAACAATCTGAGGTGAGCAATTGAAGCTTCTTGCACTCACATCTCCCTTCCGGACGTAGTCGGGGTCTTTATAAATGTCCCTGGCSAGGCCGAAGTCACAGATCTTGACCACGTTGTTCTCAGAGAGGAGGATGTTCCTGGCTGCCAGATCCCGATGGATGCACTGCCAGGGAAGGACAGGGTCAGAGGGGGCTGCACTGGGGGTTGGAAGCAGCAGAGCTCCTTTGGGAATGGGGAATTAAAGGAACTGCTGTTGGGGGCAGGYTAGAGAAGGGAAATGTGAGTGGGGATCTGCCCCCGATACACTGTCATGTGCAAGAGGAAGAATAACTCCAGGAACAAGCCAACAGTACAGGCAGATTTGGGATTTTTCTATCTGAAATACCCTGGCAGTTACAAGAGGAAGGGAGCTCGATTTCCTAGTTAGCTGATCACTGGGAAATGCAGGAACTGTGGCTGTGTTTGCCAGTGCAGGTCCAGGTGTGCTGAGATGGGGTAAGTGCAGACTCAGAGCTCTGCACACTTTGGCACRTGGATTACACTGCATTTACTCAAAAAGGTGTTCCACAGCTACAAAAACCTCCTGTTGTACCCAAAAGAGCTAAACAATAGCTGGATACTCCCTCCTCATTTGTCRCTGTTGGTCATCACTCTCAAAGGAGCTTTCTCTGTGAGTCGTTTCTGCATTTCTTCACGAGGCAGCTCCACAAATGGTCCCACAATCTGTATCAACCCCTTCTGTCCATCCCCTCCTGCTGCAGGTGCCAGTCCCTGCTCCCTCCCAGCCCTTCAGTGCTAATTACTGATGAACCCTCAGAGCTAACATCATCTCCAGCACTCTAATACTGGAGCAAAAAGCACATTACTCAGGCTCAAAAGTGTGTTTGGATTTTTTCAGATCAGATTTCGTGCAAGAAGTCTGAGCAGCTCACTTTTCGGGAGGCCAGGAACTCCATGCCTTTGGCCACCTGGAAGCTGTAGCAGATCAGATCCTCCAGAGTCAGGGGCCTCTTGTACAGATCCTCAGCATCTAGGAGAGATCAGAGCAAAACTCACATCATGGCAAAACCCTGCAGCAGTCGCTCCAAAGCTCGGTGACACCGGTGCCACGCGTGTGCTGATGGCCCCTGCCCCGCACTGAGGGTTGGATGGGAGATCTCTGATGGGTCACAGCTCTGGGTGAGGATCAGCTGGCCCAGAGGCAGAAGATCAGATAATTAATAAAGTTCCCTCATCCATTAGTCACTCATTTAGGTATGGGCAAAACAAGGGCTGGGGATGGGAATGAGGGAAGTTTTATAGAGAGYGAGTGAGGAGCCCGGGGACAGAGTGGCCTCACAAATCTTCTGTAAAACATTCCTGTTTCTCCTCTCACACAACAGGAGCAGCTTTTGTCCACAGTACAGTGCTGCCAATCTCACTGTGAGAGAGCTGGAGTGGGGAACAGGCAAGAGAAAGAATTTGGGATTTCGGGAACAAGCCAAACCATGTAAGGGCTTGTAAAGTGTGTGACAGYGTGAGTGGCACTAGCCAAGTGGCAGAAATCTTCCCAATAAATTATTTGGGATGAAGGAGGGTTCTTTTACCTTCTTCATCATCTTCTGAGTCGCTGTAACTCTTATCTTCAATAAATCCTGAGCTGGCAGAGCTGCCTGTGCTGGCCACACTCTCGAGACGCCTCTTGATCAGCTCAGTTAAGTCACTGTTGGACTCATCCAGGCTTTTCTCGGCTTGGTCTGAGCTTTCCTGGGACTAGAAATGGCATAAACCTGATTTAACTTTGTGTGATGCAATGCTTGAGGAATCAAAATACGTGATAGAATGGCATAAGGAGGAAGTGCCCTCTGAAARTGAGCTCAAACACATTTGAATATGATGTACCGTGAAGAGCGGTACTAACAAAGCCTTGTTTCCCATTTATTCCTATTTATTTCCTATTCCTATTCCTAKTTATTTGATTCCCTTCCTCTGATGGAAATATTCCACATCAGAGYTAGCTGAGAGCTGGCTGGGTGAGACTGAGGTGAGCAGAGACAGACTGTTATTCCGTGCCTTTTGCTGTCCTAGGAAAGCACGTGAAAAATGCCCTCCAGGGATGTGCATGAGGGGCTCTGACGTGTCTGTCTTGGGGAGGAGGCACAGTCAACCCTCAGCTCATGGGACAATGGGGAGGAGGAAATTCTGAGTGAGTGCAGCAGGAAAATCTCCTTCACTCACACCGAGTCCCTCACGTACTTTGGTGCCTGCACACAATGGCTTTAATAATAATAATWATTATAATAATGATGGAATCATCTGGRAAAATAATCTTGGTGAGGCTCCATTTTCCGGCAGGGCTGGGACCACAGAGCCTGCTCYGTGCTGGATATTCCCCAGGAGGAGTCAGCCCCATCCCTTCCCAGCACTGCTCTCTGTCTCCTGTGTCCTGCTGCCATCCCAGCCCAGTCTGGGCTGCTCAGATGTTTGTGTGCATGGAGGGAACTGTTTGGGAACCAAACCATTTGCTTGGGTTTGATGCAGGAAATCCACGRCCCAGGGTGTTGTTACAGCACAGAYTTCAGGGSYGG